TGTGAGGTATGGCTGTGAGGTGTGACTGTGAGGTATGGCTGTGAGGTGTGAACCGAGAGGTGAGACTGTGAGGTACACCTGTGAGGTGTGCACCAGGAGGTGAGACTGTGAGATATGGCTGTGAGATGTGAACTGAGAGGTGAGACTGTGAGGTGTGAACCAAGAGGTGAGACTGTGAGGTATGGCTGTGAGGTGTGAACCGAGAGGTGTGACTGTGAGGTACGGCTGTGAGGTGTGAACTGCGAGGTGAGACTGTGAGGTGTGACCAGAGGAGATGAGGGGTGAAGGGCATGTGAGGGATGGTGAGAGATGATGTGGCTTGCTAGTCCCCGAGGGCTGTGGTTCTTGTGGCCTGTTCTTTCCTCCTCAGCATGGTTCATGTCTGTTCACATAGAAACATAGAGATTCCACCTTTACTCCCTGGCTGTGTGGTGGGTGTGAGATGGAAAGTAGGAGTGTAGAGAATGGTCGGGCAGAACCTCAGTTTTTATTCAAAGAATTGTGTGCTGGAAAGTGGGTGGAGGCTGGCACAGAGAGGAAGTCAGCCTTGGGGAGGAGGTGGGCTGCTGGGTGAGGTGAGGACAGGTTCGTCTGGACTTTGTGCCGTTGTGTGAGCCCCAGTTCCTATGGCCTCAGCGGGGAAGCCAGGCCTGTGGCCAGCACTCTCACCTCCTCTTGTCCCTGTCCCTCACCCTTCCCTTCTCCTCTGCACCCTTGGGTTTGGGTGCACTCTGGTCACAGGTGGTGCCAGGCTATGACCTTTCAGGAATTAAAGGCCACAGACCCCATGGGCCCATCACAGGCACAAGTTACAGAGGGGAAGGGGCTCCTGAGAGATGAGAGTGAGCTGAGACTGGATGGTGGAGAGCAGAAGGAAGGAAAATGGGACAGTCACGGCTGTAGGGAAGTAGCAAGCGAGGCACTCCCCAGAACCTGATGGGGCCCCATCTCTGGCAGGTCATCACATGTGTTGGCACCATGGGCTTAATATGGACAAGGCAGGGGTGCAGAGCCTCCAGATGCAGTGGGGTGGGGTTCACACTGACTTTGTCCACTCTGAGCCTCGCCTGGCCAGTGGCTCTTTCAGTGGTCCAAGCAAATGGGGCTGGCACCCACACAGGACATTTGTCAGTGGGGTGACCCATCTTTGTGGAGAGAACAGCCCTGATTTCGTCTATTTCTTGTGATGCCACAAGTGGCCATGAGTCATTGCTGACTGGGTGAGCAGGGCAATTTGGAGATGACAAAGTTGGCAAAATACAATACCACTTTCTAAATTAAAGATAGTTAACAACATTAGAAAATCAGGACTTTGAATTATAGTATACTGTTACTATGTGAGAATTACTAAGAGGTTCCTTTATATTTGACCAGGAATTAGAAATACTTCAGTCTTGGGATCTTTTCTAGAATTAGAACATTGTTTTGCTAGGGATCAAGATTATTATGATGGTTTTCTCAAAAAACCATGCATGGCTGGAGTATTGAGGGAACTGTTCATTCACTTGTCCAGTTCATCCATCCAGTCCTTGGGTGCTGAGCAGTGCCTGCAGGGCGGCATGACAGGCCAAGGGGTTGAGTCACACTCAGCCCACCCACTCTGGAGGCGAGGGGCAGATGGGCAGTAGCCAGTGGGAAGCAGGAGGGGATTTGCTGCAGAGACTGGTGTGCGGGCCAGAGCCTGGCCTCTGTGGGGAGTCAGGGCTGGCTTTGTGCCAATGGGCAGGCTTGGCCAGGAGAGGGAGGATGCTGCTGTAGGAGACAGTGGCAGAGCTGGGATGCGGGAAGAGCTGAGGCGCTGCTTCCCTGTGCCCTCCAGTTCCCTGGTCAGCACCAACGAGCACCTCCTGCAGGAGCTTCGCCAGGTGCGGGCGCAGCACAAGGCAGAGGTGGAGCAGCTGCACTGGAGCTACAAGGAGCTCAAGAAGACCATGGCCCTGTTTCCGCATGGCAGCGCCGGCCTGGGCGGCTGCTAGTCCTCTGGACGCCTGCCAAGAAGCCTTACTTCTCTTAAACCTATGCTTTTGAGCTGTGTGGCTCACATTTGTATTTCTTTACCCGGTGTATTTGTTGGTGAGAGTTGTCTGTTCTGTTTGTAATATCTTGTCAGTTTTGAGATGTATTCGGGGCCTATAGCTCGGTTTTCTAAAACATCCTAAAAAGACAGGATTAATCCAAGCCCTTCACATGTTTTGAGACAAAACACATTGACATATTTTGAGACAAACAAATCATTAATTTTTCATCAATTATCTGGAGATAAAGGAAATGCAGTATTTTTCCTGCTGATTAAAGAAAACTTTCTGTGTAACAAGCAATTCTTATTTAATAAACGAATACATTGTTCTAAAGAGTGGCTCATTATAAATTTGGAAGAGTTTTGGCTACCATGTCTTCAAATTTCCTATTTGACCCAGTCTTTCTCTCTCCCCTCCTGGGGATCCAGGTACACTCGTGGTACAGCACCTGACATTGTCCCAGAGGTCACTAACGCAGGTCCTTTTCTTCACCCTGTTCTCTCAGGGTTTCCATCTGATTGGTTCCGCCACAAAGTTGACTGATCTGTCCGTCTGCGTGCGTAATCTGCCGTTAAGCCTGTATAGTGAATTTTAGTTTCAGAAATTATATATATTTTTAGTTCTAAAATTCCATTTGGTTCTTTTTGATTAAGGTTTTATTTCCCATTATGTTCATGTTTCATTTAACTCCTTAACTATATTCTTCATAGCTTTACTATAGTAGATCTCAAACTGTTCCCAAGTGGCTGACGACTCACACTCCTGTTAGTCTGTGGGGATGTCTGTTGGTCCCTGTTTTCAGCACTTACTGTCACTGTGTTTCATGTCTTCTTTCTAGAGAGTGTGTAACATACCTCCTGCGGTTTGTATTGGCCTCTCCCCAGTTGTCAGGGGGGCTGAGCACCGTTTCACAGTTATGGCCATCTGGATTGCCTTTTCGTAAAGTGCCTATTCTTTTCGCTATTTTTCTATTGGATAGTCTGTCTCATATTTCTTTGTAGGAGTTATTTATAATTCTAGATAGTAGTACTTTGTGGATCACATTTGCAAATGGCTTTTTCCTGTCTTTTCACTTCTTAATAGTGTGCTTTGATGAAGAGAAATTTTAAACTTTAATATGGTCCAATTTATCATTCTTCATTCTGATTAAAGAATTTTAGATCCTAATTTTTAAAAATCTTTCTCTGTGGTCCTGAAGATACTCTGCTATGTTAACTTCCAAAAGATTTTACAGTTTTGTCTGTTTTGGGTTTCAGATAAATATTCTACCTGGAACTGACTTTTGTGCATGTTGCAATGGTTAAGGATCCAATGTCATCAGTTTCGTCTGTAAGACCAGTTACCCAGCATTGTTTGTTGACAAGATTCCTCTGTCATCAGTGATTTGTGTGTCTGTCTTTGCGTCTCTGTTCTTCCCACTGGGCTCGCTCCCCATCTCTGTGCTGAACCACCCTCTGTAGGGCAAGACCTCCCATCTCACGTTCAGGAGGTTTTGGCTATTTTTGACCCTTTGCATTTCATAAATTTTAGAATTAGCTGGTTAAATTGGGATTTTGTTTGAGATTGCATTGGTCAATTTGGGAAGGATTGACATATAGGTAATATTGGGTCTTACAGACCATGAATATAATATCTCCATTTATTAGATCTCCTTTAATGTACATTATTATAGTTTTATAATTTTTTCCATAGAAGTTTTACGCATCTTATATTTATTCCGAGGTTTTTCTTATTTTGTGATGCCATTTCTAAAAGATATATTAAAAAATGTGTTTGGATTTCATTTTTCTAATTATTTGTTGCTGTTATATGGAAACCCAATTGATTTTTATATATTAATTTTGTATCCTGCAATCTTGTTAAACTATTATTAACTTTAATAATTTACCTATAGTGATTTTAGCCTCTCCACGCAGTCATGTTCCCTGTGAGTAATGGGTTTTCTTGTTTTCTTTTCCATTCCTTCACTCTGGGTTTTAGCTTTATGTTTTTCATTTTGTTTTGCGTTTTGCTTTTCCATGCTGGCTCACACCTCTAGTACAGTGTTGATTATAAGTGGTGGGGGTGGGGGGGGGGCATCTTTGTCTTATTCTGGATTTTAAATAAGAGGGGACTTTCATCATTTCACAACAAAATTTGTGAGGGGTTTTTTGTACATGGCCTTTCTCATGTTAAAGAAGCTCCTCAATTGTTAATTTACCAAGAATTTTTCATCATGAATGGATAAATTTTATCAAACACTTTTTCTGTAACTATTGGGATGAGCATATGACTTTTCTCCTTTATTCTGTTAATGTGGTTAATTGCAATAATTTGCTAATGTAAAAACAACCTTAAATTTCTGGGGTAAGCACAACTTAGTAAGGGTGGATTTTCCTTTACATACATATTGTTGTATTTGGTTTGTTAATATTTTGTTTAGGATTTTATATTCCAGGTACACCACTTAATGTCTAACTTGGGGCAATTATTTAAATTCTCTGGGCCTCCATTTCCTCATTTGTAAAACGGGGTAATAACAGTGCCTTGCCTCATAGTGTTGTGGTGAAGATTAATTGAGTTATTACAAATAAAGTCTCAGGATAGCATCTGACCCAGCACTGTGGGATTGTATGCTCTAATAAGAATAATTAGCTCTTTCTTCATGGGTGTTATGGGCTGGGATCTGCTTGTATAATGCTGCTCTTGTCAGGATTTGCGTCATTACGCTTTCCTCTTAAGAGTTTGGTTTTGCATTTCTTCTCTATTCTCTAGGAAGATTTATATAAAATTGTAATTAGTTTTTCCAAGTGTTTGGTGGAACTTGCTGATGAAGTCACTTGGGCCTGGAATTTTCTTTGTGGGGAGACTTTTGACTATTGATTCAGTTTAATTAATGGTTACAGGCTGTGGCAGAGCCTGTTCTTACAGACCACCCAAATGCCCCTCTGCATTCACCAGCCTCCCTACAGTTGGTTTGGGGTCATGTGACTAATTCTGAGCAACAGTCTGAGAGTGGAGCTGAGGGGTGCCGTTGCAGGGTCAGGGCAGAGAAGAGCTGGTGGGCCGCTCTGGTGGCTTCCCTTCCCTCTGACCTTGCCAGCCCCGTCACAGCCTCTGGAAGCCTTGCTGTGTTGGAAGAGATGCCTCCTCCACCCCAGCTGGACTTTGTGTGAGTGAGAAATAAGTTGCGTTGTGTCCAGTCACTGTGTCTCAGGGGTTTCCCACTGTAGTTGGTAGCTACCGAAATCACAGGATCTGCAGGCTTTCCATTTCTTCTGGAGTTAGTTTCATAAGTTATATATCTCTAGGAATTTGTTCATATTGCCTAATTTTCAATTTTTTTGGCATAACACTCAATCTTTTAATGGCATTTTAATAGGTTTAGCATTCGAGGTTGTGTCCCTGTGGCAGAGATGTAGGGGCAGTTGAGTCTCTTCAAGCAAGACCTTGCTGTTCAAGGGAGGGGATGCAGGTAAGAGACGACCACCAGCTGCTCGTGGCATCAGGCTCTGCCTCAGCTTTCGAGTCAAGGACACTCATCCAGGCAGCCTTGGACAGTGACCGAGCAGGCAGGGCCCCGGGGCCTGGCCCTCCTGCCAGGAATTCCTCTAACAGGCCGTCGCTGAGACTTTGTCAGGTCGCATCGTGGTCTGGAGGCCTCCCTGCTCTTCGTTGTCCCCTGTCCTTCACAGGTGTTACTCACTAGTAACACAGCTGACTCTGCCTCAGTGTCTGCTTCCTGGAGTGGCTCTCATCCCCTGGTCATTCTTCTTATGGGTTGTTGGAAGTTTCTCTTTCATTAATTTCACCAGAAGTCTGTCAAGTTGATTGCCCTTCCAGAGAACTAACCTTGGTCTTCGTTTCCTTTTCTTCATTTCAATTTCTGTTCTGTTTTTAGCCATGCTGAAATTACTGATAGGTTTGGCTTAGAAATGTTATCTTATCAATTTTCCTGTTCTGTGTTTCTTTCTCTTGCTTTATCATTTAATGTGATTGATATATTTTGGCTTAAATCTGCCATCTCATTTTGTGCTGTTTGTTCTATTTCTTCTATGATTTTTTTCCTTCTCTACTGTTGCTGTTTTTAGACTACTTTTTATCATTCAACATTTGCACCTCTGCTAGTTTGGAAGCTGTGTACTCTGTCTCTGATGTATTATTACAACATGTTGGTTTATTTAATCAGTACTTCTTCCCTCCTCTGATATCATGCAAGAGCCATAAGCACATAAATCCCTGTGCACTTTCTGGCTCACATGTGATGGTTTTCAAGTATTTTAATGAAATGTTTTCAATCCCACAGAAAGTATTACATAGTCACTGTTTGTAAGCTATTTACTGTTTATTCTTTGTTCCACTTTACTTCTTCACATCACAGACATTCCATCTGTGATCACTTTGCTTCTACATTTAGAATTTCTTTTAATAATGGTGGAAATTCCCATTATAGTCTGAAAAATGCCTTTATTTTATCTTTATTTCTGGAAACGATTTCCCTGGGGTAGGATTTCAGATTGGCATTTATTTGATGATGTCATTTCTGTCTTTGGGGCTGCTCTGATTGTCTGTACTGCAGTTTATGCCCAGTCCCCCTGATCTAGACCCCACCCAAGGGCGGCACCAGAACTAAGAACTTGACCAGGTCTCAAACCCTGCGCCTCACGGGGCTGGGTCAGTAGTTGTCCCATCTAAGTGAGGAGGTGACCTGAGGCTCTCAGCCCCGTGAGCTGTGGCTCTAACTCTGCCCTGCTGCCCCTCCCAGGGTCTGTCCTGTGTGCAGTGTTAGCGCCCGTGGGCGACTGCTGGTGCAGATAGCGCACTTTGAGGATACCGAGATCCACGATTTAACACCTTTATTTATCACTTTACCAATTGGACACACAGTGTTAACAACAGCGAACACATGAGGAGCGATATGCAGACACACATGAGCTCTTTCCCTAAAGGTTTGCAAGCCAGGCCTTGACAGCGAGTCTGAGAGGTGACACCGCGCCTCGCGCTCTGCGGGAGGGAGAGCAGGCCGCCCTGACCCCACAGATGTTCCCGGTGAGTGCGGTGTGGACATCAGCAGAAGTGCCCTTCTGAGTCAGAACACCCATGACATCAACATTGCTTTACCCATCACACTGATAAAGTGATATACTCAGTACTCCCTAACATTAATAAACAGTGTAAAAATATATTGCATATATATATAAATTTATTTCCCTTTCCTGAAAAGAACTTAGTACAAACTAGTAGTATGTGATCCCTTTCAAGTTTCTTTTAAGTTGTGCGGGTTTCTTTTGTTGTTTGGCTTGATTTGGTTTTTCAAGAGTCTAAAGTAAGAGAGAGTTAACTAAAGCATCTCAAAGCACAGGGTGACTACTTCCCAGCACTGCCTGGGGCTACCCCCCTAGGCCATGCTCTCCATATGCCCACGCCCCTGAACCACCGGATTTCACGAAGTGTTCAGTAGTAAATCAGTGGAGGGAAGCTATTCAGGGTCAGTGTTTTGAGGACATTGTAGCCTATTGATAACTTCACAGTGCTGCAGGGCGGGGCGTGGCCAGCCTGTGGGTGGGTGGTGTGTGTGTGTGTGTGTGTGTGTGTGTGTGAGTGAATACCCGCAGGAGGGGATGAGCTGCGCTGGGCCTCAAGGGCAGGGCCAGCACACTTTCCCGTTAAAGGGCCAGATGAGAATATTTTAGGTTTCACAGGCCCGTGGCCTTTGTGTCTCAGTTCCTCCCCACCGCCAATGTAGCACAAAAGCACCAAAGACGGTGCGTAAGCACATGGGCGTGGCTGTGTGCCATTAAAACTTTATTCACAAAAACAGGCGGCTGTAGCAGGCCCAGGGTGTGGGCCTCTGCCCCGGGGACACCCATGGCCTGCCCTGAGCTCTCAGCCGCTGGGACATGGGACGGAGCTGCACAGACAAGAAATGATGCCCATGAAGCGCCTCCACATGCCTTTTCCCAACTGATCGGCTTCTGCTACTATTTTCATCTGCCTCAAAACTTAAGACTGAGGATATTAAAGGTGTAAAAATACTCCAGTATAAATATATATCTTTTGCTATAATATTTTAAACTTATATAATTTGAACGTCAATTTTGGTAAAGTTAGCTCTGGGTTACTGACCACTGCCTAGTTGCTTATCCTATAGCATTAAATAGAAATAAATTAAGTGTTCTGGTATGATCAGTGTTCTCAAATCCTCTCCTGTTCTTTCCTGACGCTCAGACACCATCAGCGCTGTCCTCCCCTGACAGACGTGTCCTGTCTCCTTGGGTCCATGCTGTGCAGTCTCTTCTATCACAGATAGACACTGACTTTCTCTTTAACCATGGTGAGCAGAAGCGAATTGGCATTGTATAAAACACACAACGAGGACACACACCTGCCTGTATATTCACAACACCCAGGACCCGCTGGAGGAGCGTGCACGTGTGTGTCTGTTTTGTGCAGTGAAGTTGGAGTCCAAACAAGTGTTCTGTGTTGGTCAAAGGCTACACACAGATACAATGATGAATTCCCCAGATGATTTTAAGCTGACAGAATGGTGACCACTAAGTCCTCATGACTGAATGTTAGCACCTCCTCCCGCTTCCCGGAAAGAGATGAGAGGGGAGGGGGTTTTTTCAAAGCCCCCACTTTGGGGAAGGAGTCCGTTCTGGCCCTCATGTGTGCCTGAGGAAGCCTTGAGACTGACCGAGGACGGGGAGGGGACGCCCCTGGGACCCCGACGCCCTGGCCCCAGCGCGTGGGGGAGGCTGGGCCCAGGACATGGGGTCATCCCTCCAGGAGCCTGCAGGTGCTGGGCTGGGGAGGGGAGGACCACCAAGGGGGAGCAGCTGTGTGCACTTGATTTTCATTCACAAACCCAAAGAGCAAGTGCTCTTACAATGAATGCACTTTGAAATTTTCATCAGGAGGGAATTGATAGTTTATCAAGGAGCTCATCTCCATGAGCCTCCACAGGCCAGGTCTGCCTCACGGGAAGATGGGGTCTCCAGTTCTGGGGAGGCGCCATGTGAGAAGGGTGCTCACCACAGGCGCGTGGCAGGGTGTCTGAGGACAGGCACTGGTGCTGTTTCTTCTGCTCAGTCCCCATTTCCCCAGTGTGCTCCCGGGCAGGCCAGCCCTTGACTGGAGTCGGAACCCTCCTGTGGAGGCCACTCTGGCCTGAAGACGACGCTCTGGGACAGGACACCTCTCTCTCGAGTGTCTTGCAGGCGAGGAATGGCTGAGAATGGCCTGCGTCCTCTCCAACCATGGCGGGCCCAGGTGACATCCGTCCCTCTACGGGCTGCAGCATGGGGACCCTGTTCCTCTGCCCTTGCTGAGAGTGCACACTCTCATGGCTGAGGTCCTGGTGGATTCCAGTGTCTGTGCTATGTGACTCAGCTGTAACAGTGGGGACTGGGCTGTTCACAGGCAGGAGAAGGAGCAAAGCAGCCTCAGACCAGGAGACCTGAGGCCTCCAGTGTTGGGTGTTCCTCCACAGTGGGTCCTCTCAGGGTCTGGGGCAGAGCAGATGGCTCGGGGCCCTGAGGAGGAACCCTGTTCTGTGACCACGAATGAAAAACTTGCTGGCATTGGATCACAGGGCTTTCTGGTTTATGATCAGCTTCTGGTCAAGAAACACTGCAGGTTCAGAGTTGTCTTCAGACCCGTTCCCACGTATTACTCTGGCCTCCGGGTGTCACACGAAGGTCCAGCCTGGGGGAGGAGAGAGGCGCACAGGGCGGGGGTCCGGCGTCCTGCCTGCCTATCTCCAGCCCTCAGTCCTCGGTTTCCCTGCTGTGGAGTGGAAGCCAGGCCAGGCAGCTTAGGATCCCAAGTTAGAAACTTCTGAGACAATAGTGAGATTAGGTCCTAAAAGTGACTCTCGAAGCCTGCCATCCATCATTTCCTCGGTTTTAATGCCACACACTGAAGTCCCAGAACCTCAGAATGAAGCTGCCTGCGGAGGCCACCGCCATCCATGAGTTGAGGCCTCCCTGCAGGGGTGAGGGGAGGCCCATGTGCAAGGGGCCAGGTCGGCTGGGATCGCTGGCCCACAGCCCCTCTCTGCATGGGTTGGGGGGGGGGGCTGCCCTGGCTCCAGCAATGACCAGTGAGCCCTCCGGGCTCAGGGAGGCGGGGCTGTGCATGCCACGGCAGTGGCAGTCTTTATCTTGGCTGGCTGTGCTACGGGCCAGGCTGAGTGTCCAGGAAGCGGGTGCCCCCCAAACAGCCCGCTGCCCTGGACACACAACAGACAGTGGCCAGGGCAGACAGGCTTCAGGAAGCATTTCCTTGAGGTGGCCATGGGTTTTTCACAGGACTGACTCTGAGACCACACGGCCCAGCAGGTCAACATGCCAGGCTGTGGCTGCATTTCTGCAAAGGGACGGCATGCCTCGAAGCTGGGCCGCTGTGACAGCAGGAGGCCCCCACCACCCTGCCCTGCTTTTGGCCTGGCAGAGAAACCAAACCCCTGCAAAGGCTGCAGGCCTGCAGGGCCTCCTCTGGCTTGGCTTTGTGAGGTTTCCTGCACTCCTGAGGGTCTGGAGAGGTGAGGGGAAGCCGCTGACAAAAGGCTCCCGAGAGGCCGAAGCCGGGGAGGTTTGTGCTGCGCTGTGAGCAAAGAGGGAGCAGCCGCCTTGACCTGCAGCCTCGAGGCCCCGAGTCCAGAGGGGCCCCGGGCAGAAGACGCCCAGTCCCGTGCTGGCAAAGGGGCTGCGTGGGCTCTGCCTGCCCCCCACCTGGGAGGGCCTCAAAGCGAGCAGGGTCTTCCTGACCTGGAGACTCTGGACAGCAGAAACAGGAGATTCGGAATCTTCCCTTACACGTGCTCGTGCGCAGTCACACATGCGTGCACACACACTCATACTCACATACATGCACATGCCTACGGTACTGTCACCATTTCTTATTTCTTCTTAGAAAAGCAAAATGAAATGTCTTTAGTTTCCATTATAAACACTTCTAACTTCACACTTCAGATCACTTTCCTTTGGTCGACTGAGGAACCTTCTTTCACTGGCTCACCTTCCTTTGCACATCAGCCTTCGGTTACACGACTGCCCTTAGCACAGACCTGGTCTGTAGGCGTGTGTGTGTGTGCGCATATGTGTGTATGAACATATGTGAGCAAGTATGAGTGTGTGTGCGTGCGTGGCTGCACGTGTGTAAGCGTGTGCGCGCATGAGCATGAGTGTGCAAGCGTGTCCCCACGTGTCCCATCTGCACACCTGCACGGTGCCCTTGTAGACACCGCTGCGTCCTTTTGGGGTTCACTCTGTTTTATTGGTGCTGCTTGTTAGTGCATTAGCGCATGCTGCCCTCACGGATCCTGGGAGGGTCTGCGGGTCAGGAGGTCAGCGCCACCTCTCACAGGGTCTGTTGCTCTCATCCCCAAGGCCCACCAGCTCCTTTAAAACTCCCCTTTCGCCTGCAAACCAGGTGGCAGGTATAGTCTGGTCCTGGGAGACACTGGAAACAGTCATTTGTCAACTTCCCAGCACTGGACGAGGCAGGTGTGTTAGAAAAGGTCAGTGAGGTCAGGGGTCAAACCTGGGGTTGGAGAGAAGCACGCCGGAGCCCGGGCATCACCCCACAGCCGCCCCAGCCCAGCGTCTGAGTTCAGCCCAAGTGAGCACAGGAATGTAAGGATGTGCGAGGATGCGGGGTCTCGGTGACAGCAGGAAGGCCCCGCGTGGGGACCGGCTACTTGCCTCCCTGCACCTTCTGGTCGTAGGTGCCTGCGTGCTTGTAGCCCGGAACGTAGCCCGACTCGTCCACGAGGTCCACACGGCCTGCCCTGCCCTTGCCCCTGCCCGACGGGTCGAAGCGCTCCTTGTGGGAGCCGGTGAACTTGGTTGTGTCCGTGAGCCGCGACACGGTGGGCGACGAGATGGCTTTCTGCAGGAGGAGAGCAGGGCATGCAGGGAGGGTGGGGGTGAAGGGGTTAACTGCCAGTCCGGCAGGAGAAAGAAGGGGTGTCCAGGTGAGCTGGGAAGGGGGAGACTCCAACCAACGTGGCAGGGCCTGGGGGATGGCGGGCGCTAATAGTCCTGGACTCCGCCTGCTGGCACCTGGCTGGGGAGGTGGCCTGGGTCAGCCCACGCCCGGGGGTTAATGCTTCTGCCTAGTCTTGATGCCGCCATCCTTCCCCTACCCCGCCCCCCGGCTGTGCCTCCCAAGGGACCTGCCCGCTGCCATGCTCACCGTCACCCCTGAGATGATGGGGGCCTTGCCCTCGATGAGCCTGTGCACCTCTCGGATGGCCTCCTCGCTACTCTTGTCTCTGAACCTCTTCTTGGAGAGCTCCTCCAGCGCCTCCTTGAACTGCTCAAACGTGATGGTCCGGCAGGACTTCCCTCTGCAGGGAGAGAGAACTCAGGGCACAGGCTGGGGCCACTCACCTCCATGGTGAAGGACTGCTGAGAGCAATCGCTGGGCCGGGACCTGGGGACTTGATGACATTGGGGACCCCAACCCCGTCCTGCGACACCCACCCCACCTCTCTCCCACAGCCAAAAGTGAGTCTAACATTAAAATACAGACCATGCCCCTCCCCCGCCCTGGTCTGCACTGTGTACACCCAACAGTCGGTTGCCATCGGCAACGGCAGCAAATATAAATTGTCTTGGAAAAAAGCTTAAAGGAAGCACATCCTTTATGAACAACTGGACATTAAAACAAAGCCGTTGTCTGGTTCTAAAACGGGGCATGTGTGTGGCCTCCACTGGAAGGACTTTCAGAGGGAAAGTTAGGGCAAGAAGCTTGTCCAACTCAAACCACACGGAGGAGGCCACGGTCTGTGTCAGGTCGTGGGGGGGTTGGGGTCACGATTAGCACACAGGGACAGGACTCGGGGGGGCGCCTCCCCAGAATGCCTGGCAAAGTGGGCCCAGGTCCTGCACATGAGGTCCACAACCTAGGACCCACAGGCTCTTGGAAAGGTGCCCCACCCCTCCCTGGGACCCCCTGCTGCCCCTGCCTGAAACCCACCTGGGCCTGACCTGGGCTGGCCCACATGAGCAGTGCAAGGTGGGCTGGGGCAGGTCCTGCCTGGGCCTGGCCAGGGGTGCAGCAGTGAGCCGCAGTGCAGCACTTCCTCACCCAAACGCAGAATTCCCCCACGGTAGAGAAGGTTCTAAACTGGCTCTTCATCCTTTATAATTTTAACTAAAGAACTTTTTTGCCCTTTGACTGGATCTTCCCCAACAAATCTATTCAGTGAGTTTTCAGTGTTTTAAAATAAAAAATGGTGTGGAGGAGGCTCCCACACTCCACAGGGACACCCTATTGGAACAGCTGCAGAAAGGCTGCCTCGTCACGGTCATTCCTGCTGCAGAATCCTGAGCTTCAGCGACTCAAGAGACAACCAACCCGACAGCACCCGCCGGGTGTCCCGCAGAAGTCCCCGAGCAGAAAATCTAGAACGGCAGACAATTTTGAAAAACAGGAACACAGTAGGAGCTCTGATACCACCCAACTTCAAGACTTACTACAAAGCCATAGGGACAAGATGCAGGGGCGGCCCCACAGATGGACAGGCCACAGAGCCGCAAGCAGGCCACACAGAAGGATTTCCGACAACGCTGCAAAGGCAATTCAGTAGAGAAAGGATCATCCTTTGAACAAATAGAGCTGGCACAGCTGGTGACCTGTATGCAAAGAAGACCTTTGTACCTTGCACCATATGCAAAAATTAACTCAAAATGGATCATAGTCCCAAATTTATTATAACACCAAAAACTATAAAAATTCTGTAAGAATACCTAAGAGAAAATCTTTGTGACCTTGAGTTAAGCAAAGATTTCTTAGAAACTACACTGAAAAACAGTCCTTAAAAGAAAATAAAAAGGATGAATTAGACTTCACCAAAATTGTAAAAACCGTGCTCTTCAAAAGACACTGTTAAGAGAACTAAAAGGCAAGCCACAGACGGGGAGAAAATACTTGCAAAACACATATCTGATAACAGACTTCTATCAGAAATAGAAAAAGAACTCTTAAAACTCAACAATAAGAAAAACTTCAATGTAAAAAATTGGGCAAAATATTTGAACTAGACACTTCATCAAAGAAGATCTGTGGATGCAAACAAGCATGAGAAGAGATGCTCGAATCATCAGCCATCCAGGAAATGCAGATTAAAACCCCAATGAGGTCCCAGCGCACACCCACCGGGTCACTGAAGAGATTACGGTAAATGAAATGACAGCACTGAGGGCTGGGAGGATGTGGGGCAGCTGGTGGATGCAACGTGGCGTCCACTTTGGAAGGCAGTTCAGCAGTTTCTCATAAAGGTCACGCCCACAGCACAGCCCCGAGGTCCCGCTCCTGGGCTCTTGCTCAAGAGAAGTGAGAACTTGAGCTCACATGTAAACCTGTATGTGAATGTTTGTCACCACCGTTCTCCTCGTCACCAAAACCCAGAAACAGCCCCGGTGTCCCTCAGTGGTGAACGGATAAACACGCCTGGGCATGTCCACAGCACATGCGGGGCTCTGAGGGCACTTGACATGTGGGTCTGCAGACACGGGACATGTTGACCGGCGACCCCATGTCAGGACCTCACAACTCAGGGAGGAAGAACTGGGGAGCCAGAGCCCCTGTGGGGCTGGACAGCTGAGCACGGCCGCCCCAGCACATTCAGACCATCTGTCCTGAGGGGTGTCTATCCCGACAACGACCACACGCCCCATGACTTGGTGTCCGCAGGGCTTCATCAGATCTACTGTGTGGGTCGGCGGATGCTGCCCCTTGAAGCTCTCAGCCTCGACACCCACAACCTCTCTGAGGCCCTTGGTGCTGGGCTGGGTGAGTCAGTTGGATCCTGAGGCTGGGCCATCCGGGTGGCCTGGTTCGGGCATTGGCCATGTGCGGAGAACCCCGCCATGCCCTGCAGCTCGTGGTGCCTGGGCCGGGTAAACAAGGCCTCTGATCTTCCTCTTGGCCTGTGGGCCTCTACGGCCCCTGGGGCCCTGTTTGTTTGTCCTGGGCTGTCAAAGGCGCTCCTGTCTCCCATCCACACCCCGCCTGCCTGGGCTGGCGTGCGGACGCCAGGCCTGACGGCCAGCCCAGTGACTGGCCACTGGAACACGCAGCCCTCTCTGGGTGCCGTGGCACCAGGCGCCACCAGTGTGAGTCACTCAGGCTGGGGGTGGGGGTACGGCCAATGGGGGCTCTCCTCAGAAGCTAGATTCAGATCTGGGTGGACGCACAGGCCCAGGGCCCCAACTTGCCTGCTCCACCTGGCTGGGCTGCATGTCCCCTAGTGTCCCCACTGTGACCACTGGCAGGGGTCTCAGAGCCCAGTCTGGGCTGGCGGGGAGCTCTCCCCAGGGGACCCGGCGCCCTACTGCTGAGAGCAGCCCCTGGCGAGTTCTAGAATGACAATGCTGGTCTCTTCCCTGGAGACACTTGATCTCATTACGCTGCTCCCTGGACACAGAGCGAGCCTGTTCTTGACTCCACAGAACAGGAGAGTGTCCCCACACTGAAACCCCTCTTCTCCCAGCTCCACGCCAGGGCCAGCAGGCACCCTGCTCAGAAGGCTGTTGTTCTGCTGGAAAACTGGCCCAGCAGTAATGGGGTCACTGGTTACACACAAGGCCCTGTGAGCTGGGGTTTCACTTTGCTTCCCAGGCCCTGCATCCCCTGGGCTTCTAGGGCAGGCAGAGGGCTGGGCCTGTGCAATTCCAAAGGTCATCCGGGGACACCGTGGGCTGGCCAGGGGCGTCCAGGAGCCGGACGCAGGGCCAACGCAGCTCTCTGAGGACAGACATCTGTGCTTCCAGGGCCAACACCACAAAGGCTCCCGGGCTTTGGGCTGACGAGTCCCAGGACGGAGCACGGGGCCCCCACCTCCTCACTGGCCCCTTTGTGAATCAGAGTGAATGGTGGCAGTCTCAGGGGCACCTCTCTGAGAGGGGCGGCCACCATGCTGGATCATCACAGTTAGCTTGCCACTCGGGGGGTCAGAGAAAGCTGCTGGCTCTCCCCGACCCCCCCGACCAGCAGAGGCTGGGACCCCACGTGACCTGTCTTGCCCAGTGTGGGCAAGAAGTAGGGTGTCGAGGGGCCACCTAAGGACTGACAAGGGTCAGAGAACATCCCTCTGGGATACTCCCATCAGCCCCTGGGTCAGCGAGGGCTTGGGGGCTTCTGGGAGAGCCCTGCCTGGTGGGTACAGGGCCTCCAGGGGAGCTTCAACGGGGACGCAACACAGGAGCTGGCTGCATGTCTGGTCCCAGACCTGGGAGCAGCCCAGAATGGGACCAAGGGCTCTGGTTTCTTGCTGTGCTCGGGGAGGGCCTGGCTGTGTGGTCAGGCTCTCCTGGCAAACACTGGCCCCTTACTCCTGCCCAGAGCTCTCTCCTTCAGCTGACCGCCCTTGCCCACCTGGGCCCCAGCAGGCTGAGAACCCAGAGTGCAGACTTGGCCCCACGGACGATGATGAAGCTGAGAACCTGGAACCGGCTGCTCAGATCCTAGGCTTGGGCTGTCGACGGGCCCCAACCTGCCTGAAGGGGCAGCTGTGACCCCAGCTTTTGTTCCTCGATCGTTACATTCCTTCTAACTTCGTGTTTGCCTCTGCACAGTGGTGTGCACGTGGGGACAGGGGCGCCATAGGCTGGATTCCTACCCTGAGAAGGGCGGGGGCCCTAGAGACTCAGGGGCACCCCCGTCCACCCGTAATCACTGTCGTGGCCTCGGTGAGGGGATGGACACACCTGACGTCACTGAAACCATTTCTGGGTGTTTTGGAAAGGTCATCCTCTTAAAAGACCTGCATGCACTGGCATCCAGCGCCCACATCAACTCGATGAGGAGCCGGCGTGCGAGCCCAATTCCTGCCCTGCCAGGCCTTCACCCTCAGCCGCACCAGGAGGCCCACCAGCCCACCACGGAGGCCAGGGCAGAAGCCATGGGACAGCCTGCACTGCCGCAGGTGGCCACAAGAGGGCAGAGAAGGGCTTCTCCACTGCCGCCACCTTGACCCCACAGGAGACCCCAACGCCACAGCTGAAAGCACGTGCTGGGGTCTGGGTCCACGGATCCCGAATGCCCCGCCCTCACCCACCAGGCCGGAGGGAGGGGCCGGGACAGGAGAGGCCCAGTGTGGGGAGCATGGGTAACCCTTCCACTGGGGCCTGAGCCATGCTGCGGGCACCAGGAGCTTGGCTGTGTCAGCCGTGAGACCCAGGAGCAGAGCCGGGGGTGGGGGGCACACTGGGGCACTGAGAAGACCCTGCCACCAGGGCTCCCGGCCCCATCAGGGTCACTGTGTCGCCGGCCAGCCTTTCTGGGAAGTCACATCAACGCAGAGCTCTGCCCACTCCATCAGCCCCTCCCGCAGGGGCCTGTGCGCCCCCACCCCACAGTTATGCTTTCATGGGGGCTCTCTCCTGCGAGCTCGGGCCTGCTCCTGGGCTTGCATGGGCGCTGGATGGTGTCTGGGCTCTAGGTCCATGTTTCTGTGCTGAGTTTCCGTGGCACACTCCGATGGCTCAGGTCTGTTATTCCAGAGCCTGGGAGTCTGTCTGCCGACTCTTTGCTCCCTGCTTCACACAATTCCCACCATCTCTGGGCCGTGGCCACGGCGTGTTTGGCAAGAACAGCAGCTTTTCAGGCCGGTGACTGACAGACCCCAGGGAGCCCCACAGGCCTGCTTCCTCCTAACCTGTGACCCAGACGCCCAGCACCGGTGCTGAGCCATCTCCCTGCACAGGTGTCACAGGAAACTTGTTTACTCTGCAAACACATAGCCTCCAGAAAACAGGCGTGTGCATGCCCAGGAGAGGCTGCAGCCAACATGGCGCCTTCCTCTGCCCTGCAGGCTGGGCCTCTCCACCTGTGCAGTGGGGACCCCAGTGCCTGACACATGCAGGCACACGCAGGCGCACACGGGCAGAATGGAAGGGGACGTCACTGTCCACGGCCCCCAAACAGGGCTGTCAGGGTGGCACTCCTGCTGTGCAGACGAAGCCTTGATGAATTAACACTTCAGGCTGAGCATGTCGGGTCTGTGGTGCGGGGAGGGTGCAGGAGTCTGTCTAGGTAACAATAGTCTTCACTCCAGACCTGGGACAGAGCTGCAAGTAATTTGTTTAAAATTTAACACATAGTAACATCAAAACAAACAAGCGCTGCCATGGCGACAGGATCCAAACAGAGGCTGCAGATACCCGGGCTGGCGTCACCGCCCGCAGAGCCATGGCAACCGCCCGCAAACAGAAATAGTGGGCTTCTCCACCGGTCGGTCCTCTGGGTCAGCGACTCTGCCGTTCCTCGTCCACGGCTCCCACGAGGTGAGGTGCTTCTGCCGTGGCTGCCACGTGGAGCAGCCGTGGCCCAGAGACCCCATAAACCAGGACGTGCATGTCCCCAAACAGCACCATGCTCCTCACAATGCCAAATAAAATCATTCTGAATGGCCTCCTCAACCTGCCCTGCAGGGCCTCCGGTGGTCCCCCTGCCCATCCCCAGACTGATCTGCAGGACCCCACAACCCCGCCTGGGGCACCGACCACCTCTCCCTTCCCAGAGTCAAGGGTGTGAGTCCTCCCCACCGTACCCGCAAGGTGACCAGCAAGCCCAGCCAGGCACGGGGCCTTGAGCCTGCTCCCTTCTAGGGGCCACGGTGCTAACTAGCCTGGGCCCCTGTGGCTGCCTCAGGCTGGTCTTGACTGTGTTGTGACCATGGCCCCTTGCTGGACTGGGGCCACAGCTGCCTGCTTCCCCAGGCCACGTCCCCCCACAGTGAGCTGAGGCAGAGATGCCAGGAGTCCCCAAGCAGCCCTGGGCTCCACAATGTGTAGCCCACCATGTCCAGGAGCTGGAGGCCAAGCCTCAGCCCCTAAGTGTCCAAGCAGCTGACTTCCTGCCTTCCTGGACAGGGACTGGGACCAGATGGGGCTCCCTTCCTAGTGCTCACTTGCTCGTGTGATGGGAAGGTGGGCAGGAAGGACTTGTTTCCCTCCACCCAGACAGCAGGTGCCCATGCCTTCTGTACACGGGGCCTGTCCAGAGCGCCCATCCTCCAAATGAGACAAGACCACACCTGCTACCTCCCCACCAGCAAGAGTGTAGAGAGCCTGAGTTCTACCCGTGTGTGCCTGCATGTGTGCATTGTGAGCTCGTGTGCGTGTGCACGCATGTGTATGTGAATGCATGGCTGTGCACACATGTGGGGGCTGTGAGCTTATTTGTGCATACATGTGCACATGCCCCCATGCAGTAGCTTGAAGGCAACTTTCTGCAGAAGGAATTAAGAGTGAGAGAAAGACGACCTGCCCATCGCCTGTTCCCAACACCCAGCACGTCTGGGCCAGCACCGAGGGTGTGGGGACCTGTGGCACTCCCTGGTGGGGTGACCTGCCCCCGGACACACCACTTCTTCCCACCTCCCTCCCAGCCTTTCTGGAACCTTTGCCAACCAACACAGCTCTTGGGGTTCTTTTGCTCCTGGGCCTGTCCCTCTGTCTCACCGGCACCCTACCTTCTCCTTACTTGCTGCCCTCCTTCCCTCCTCACCTGCACCCCACCTTCTCTCTTCATCTGCACTCCATCTTCTCTCCTGCACTCACCTTACCACCTGCACCCCACCTTCTCTCTTCACCTGCACCCCACGTTCTCTCCTCATCTGCACCCCACATTCTCTCTTCACCTGCACCCCACGTTCTCTCCTCATCTGCACCCCACCTTCTCTCTTCACCTGCACCCCACCTTCTCTCTTCACCTGCACCCCAC